TCAATTTTACTTAAGATGCTGCCTCATTTATCACATTCTGTCCCGCAATGTCACACTTCATTAGGCATCCATAGGATTAAATCACACTAAGGAGCTGTAATCAACAATCCAGAACAGAAATCTAAACTTGCAAATCTCTGCACTTTGGTATTTCAGGAAAACCCCAATTTATATCACACGTCATGATGCTGCAGTGAACCTGTGACCAGAGCACGAGAGCGAGCTAAGTGGCAGAGTCATTCCAGCAGGGAAATCAAATCTCCTGTCTCCCTTGACATCAAAATCCAAAAGAAGGAGCCTTCGAGATGGTTCAGTAACTAAAGTGCTTGCCTTAAAAGTATGAGGCCTCAAATTCGGTCCCTACTGCTGTCACTTATATTGAGAGTGACTCTAACTGTTCCACTGTTACTGCCTGGCAGTTCAGCTGAGTCTCCCAGTGTTGCAAGTGATTTCTGGCTGTACTGCATCCAAGTGTGTACAAGCACCACATGGTAAAAGGGTGAAACCTTTAGCAATCTCCAGAAGCACTGCACCTGGGGGTGTGGGTTAGGGGAACAGAGAGAGAGAGAGAGAGAGAGAGAGAGAGAGAGAGAGAGAGAGGAGAGATAGAGAGAAAGAGGAAAAGGTGCCTAAACTGGGAAGATAGCTCAAAGAGCAAAGGTGCATGCATTACATGCAGAAGGCCTTGGTTTGATCCCTGCCACAATATGGTCCCTCAAGCACTGCAAGGAAGAGCTCTGTACAACCCATCAGGAGTGTTGAACACTACTGGGAGCGGGCCCCGATAAGCTGGTGCTAACATCCTTTAAATATGCATGCGCACAACCCCTGGTGAGCACCACAACTACAGGTGCAAACGCTGTAACCAAATGTCTGGGGAAGGAACGCACCACTCGTGACAATAACCTCAGCAGTGAGAAAAGAGGGAGGCTCCACAGAAATCCACATGCACCTAATAGGACCTCCACTAGCCAGTGATGCTCTTCTTGGCAACAATCAAAACCGGCCCTCTACGAGCTGCGGCTCTCAAACTTTCCGTGCATTGCAATCACTGAAAGAGCAACTAAAATGTAGGCTGCTGGATGACCACAATTTCTGAGTTTCTGGATTAGTATATCCAGAGAAACAAGAAAGTAGACTTCTTGTTCCCACAAGAGGGGTTGGTCAGGGGTTTATACTTTAAGAATTGTTCCCCTAGAGCATTCATAGGTAGTGTCAGCTGAAAGAGCTCAGAAGAGCTAGGAGCTTTCTGAGTCTCCTGTGGGACTTCACCTTTGCTTAGGGAGACTGTAAATATATGGCTAGCCCTATGAGAGTTGCCCTTTTTTATCTTTTCTTTTTTTTTCATTTTTTAGCACACTATCCTTATGTATCTACTCACCAATGCAATGCTTGCTAAAGATAGTTGAGGCTGCTCCATTGGATGGGACTTCTTTGGTTCAAGAAGAAGAAAGACTGACTCAGCCTGACTCAGGCAAAATGAAAACATATATAGTGGTTCCAAAAGTGGGAAGTTCAGAACAGTCTTGATGAGGATTCAACTGAGGTCGTTAGCACCACATCTTCTTTTAGAATCTCTCCTTTCTCTATCTCTCTATCTTATTATTTCCGTTATGTAAAAAAGAAGAGGAAAAAGTCAAAGAGGAGGAGGTGGAAGAAGAAGAAGAAGAAGAAGAAGAAGAAGAAGAAGAAGAAGAAGAAGAAGAAGAAGAAGAAGAAGAAGAAGAAGAAGAAGAAGAAGAAGAGAGAGGAGGAGGAGGAGGAGGAGGAGGAGGAGGAGGAGGAGGAGGAGGAGGAGGAGGAGGGAGGAAAGGAAAGAGGGAGGGTATGAGGGAAGGAAGACAAAAGGACTTGGGAATGTGACTCAAGTAGTGTAACACACACCTTATATGTGTAAGACCTGAATTCAATTCTGGGCACCACAGGCTTCTCCCTTCCAGCACTCCTAATGACCCCTATGACACCCAAGCACTAAAACAATAACCAAAAATAAATGAATAAAAAAGAATCCTCCTCATTTCATTCTGAAGATTACTGCTGAAATTTAGGTCTTGGAAAATTCTCAGATTCATTATTTTACCCAGGAATTCTAGCACACCACACCTTGACAAGGGAATCAAGTGCAGATCCCTAAACCAATCATTACATCAAACAGCAAATGACAATTTCCTGTTTGGGCCAAAAAACAAAAAACACATGCTCCACTCTGACTGCCCAAGAAAATCTGAGAGCTGTGGGATTTGGAAAGAGACAGGAACCTGTGGGACCTTCCCAGCCTCTCAGGCACCCGTGGTCACTGTCAAATATAAGGCCCCATTCCTTCAACATCTGTCCTGCCATTCCTGGAGAGTTTATCATCCCTGCTCTTCGAACTCTTTTCCCATTGGCTTTCTCCATTACTGTGATTGCCCTCTTCCTATTTCAGTCTCCTTTTGAGGGTTCTCCTTTTTTGCCACTTAATCCACGACTATGCCTAAGTATAAGGATTTATCCTTAGACCTTCTCTTACTTCATGCTTTCTCCCTGACTATTGCCATCCTGTCTCTTGTTTTTAACTACCAGTTAAGTTAACTGCAATATATATATATCACTGTATCACTGCATCACTGTTATCCATTGTTCATCGATTTACTTGAGCAGGCACCAGTAACGTCTCCATTCGTCCCAACCCTGAGATTTTAGCAGCCTCTCCTTACTCGTCTTTCCCAACGCAGCCATATTGGAGGCTCTTTGAAGGTCAGGGAAATGAGACCTGTCATTGTTAATGTTTTTGGCATATCAAATACACCACGGGGAGCTTGGCAGGCTCTGCCATGTGGGAGGTATACTCTTGGTAGCTTGTTGGGCTCATATATATATATATATATATATATATGGTATACACACACACACACATATATATATATATATGAGGTATTGTGCCTGCCACAGAGGCAGGAGGGAAGGGTGGGGTGGGGGAAGAGATACTGGAAACATTGGTGATAAAGAATGGGCACTGGTGGAGGGATGGGTTGACTGAAACATAATCATGAAAGTCTGTAAGTCTGTAAATGCATCTCACGATGATTCATTAAAATAAAGAGAGAGAGAGAGAGAGAGAGAGAGAGAAGTGCCTGCCATATTGGCAGGCACTGGGATGGGGTTGGGAGGCAGGAGGGAAACTGGGACCATTGGTGGTGGGAAAAGTACACTGGGGAAGGGACGGGTGCCTTAATATTAAATGACTGAAATCCAATCAATGAACAACTTTGTAAACGTGTATATCACTGCGATTCAAATTTAAAAAATAATGGGGGGGGGGGTAAAGTTTCCTTAGATTGTTTATGAAATGTATAGGGATAATTCTGGAGACTGGAGAGATACTACAGCCGATAGGTAACTTACTCACCCGTGTTTCACTTCCCCACACTACAACATGGTCTCCTGAACCCCTCCAGAAGTGATTCCTGAGCACCACCAGGTTCGGCCCCCAAACTAAATAATATATATGTACATGTTTATATATTTCTGTGCAACCATGCTCAGCAACCAGCACATATACAAATGTACACTGCATTTGGCTTTGTTTAATGCTGTGTGACTACAAGGGCAGTTACTTCATCTGTAAGAGGCATGAGAGCACCAACAGTGAGTGTGGTCAGGTTTTTAAAACTTTATTTTAAAACACTGAAATTTGAATTTCACATGTTTTTTAGATATCATGAGACTATTGTTATTTTTAAATCACTGGAAGTTGTTTTGTCTTTAGAAAAACAAAACAAAAACACTCCAGCCCCCAAAGCATCAACAAGTTCAATCAGTCTCAGATTTTGAGAGGCCCTTGGGCTCCCTAGGAAAGAAAAGGTTGGGGCGTCCCATCTCACACTGCCTCCTGGGCTTGTGAATAAAATAGTATTTACAACTCTTTTTAAACTTGTTTTTCCTTTCTGCATGATTGGTTAACTGTGTGTAGGTGGATTTGCACCTTTAAGTAGGCTCATCACATATGAGTCACTAAATACCCAATGACCTAGAGGCTGTCTACACTGCAGCATCTCACATATACTTCCAATGTACCGTATATGAAGCCTAGGGTAGGAGAAGCCAACTCAGAGGCTGGGGCGCAGACGTGAAGTTCCATCCCCACCACCACATGCCCCCACAAGTACTACAGAGGGTGCGGCCCTGGTGCCTCTAGCATTGCTGGGCACTGGCAGCAACACTGTGTCCTTGAGCCTGAGCACTGAACTGCCAGGCTGAGGATATGGCCTGTGGCTCCCTGAGCACTACCTGTCAAGCAACCCCCACCCCAGTAATAAGAACCGAACTCAACTGGACTGATCTCTTGTTTTATTCCCCACCCTCCATCCCCAACCAGTCCTCGATGAGCCAAAAACCAAAACCAAACAGCACAGTCTTTTTAAAAAAAAATTTATTGAATCACCATGAGATAGTTACAAGCTTTCATGTTTGGATTACAATCACACAATGATCAAACACCCATCCCTCCACCAGTGCACATTCCCCACCACCAATGTCCCAGGTATACCCCCCTCCCACCCTCCCCCTGCCTCCATGGCAGACATTGCCACCACAATGCACCTGAATCACCCGCTTTACAGCCTGAGGTTCCTTGTGTTCCACCCGCTCGTGTTTCCTGTACCACCCACAGGTCTTGTGTGTTGGTGTGTCACAAAGGCACTCTTAAACCGTCCCCACAGGCAGAAACTTAATCCTGGCCTTCAGCAACAGGACTTTCCATTGCAACAGTCCCAGAGCGACCTTGCACATTCCAGCGCTGCCTTTCCCAATCCTCCCAACAGGACTGAAAGGAGTCGCCCACTTCGGCTGAGACACACAGTTCGCGCCTTCCCCCTGCTCCCAAAGAGCTTCAAGGCCGTTCCCTCACAAGATGACATTTAGGCACCTGGGCATGACCCAAAAGCTAGGCTATGACCTGGTCCCCGTCTGACCTCACTCCATACAGCCAGCCCTAAGGAGCTGCGGGCCACTTAAGAAGCATGTATTCTGTAGTGCCCTCAAAACGCCAGCGTGTATCAGGAAACACCTCACGAAGGGGCAAAAGTGGCTTCAATTCTAAGAGTGGACAGAGAGGATCTTCCAAGTCTGGAAAGTTGAAAGGAGATGATATTCAGGCTATTAAGAAGGAGTTGACCCAGATAAAACAAAAAGTGGATTCTCTACTGGAAAACCTGGAAAAAATTGAAAAGGAACAAAGCAAACAAGCAGTAGAGATGAAGAATGATAAATCAGAAGAGGAGCAGAGCAGCAGCTCCCTGAAGAAAGATGAGACTAACGTGAAGATGGAGTCTGAGGGGGGTGCAGATGACTCTGCCGAGGAGGGGGACCTGCTCGATGATGATGATAATGAAGATCGGGGGGAAGATCAGCTGGAGTTGATCAAGGATGATGAAAAAGAGGCTGAGGAAGGAGAGGATGACAGAGACAGCGCCAATGGCGAGGATGACTCTTAAGCACATAGTGGGGTTTAGAAATCTTGTCCCATTATTTCTTTATCTAGGCGCTTGTCTAAGATCAACACCAGATCCTCTCCCCTAGTATCTTCAGCACATGCTCACTGTTCTTCCCATCCTTGTCCTTCCCATGTTCATTAATTCATATTGCCCTGCGCCTAGTCCCATTTTCACTTCCTTTGACGCTCCTAGTAGTTATGTTAAGTCTTGCCCTGTAATTTTTGCTTTTAATTTTGATACCTCTTTATGACTTAACAATAAAAAGGATGTATGGTTTTTAAAAAAAAAAAAGAAGAAGCATGTATTGTGGCTAGAGTGATAGCACAGCGGGTAGGGCGTTTGCCTTGCATGCGGTCGACCTGGGTTCGATTTCCACCATCCCATATGGGCCCTGGAGCCCCACCAGGAGCATGAGCCAGGAGTAATCCCTGTGCAATGCCGGTGTAAAACGCAAAGGAGGAGGAGGAGGAGGAGGAGGAGGAGGAGGAGGAGGAGAAGAAGAAGAAGAAGAAGAAGAAGAAGAAGAAGAAGAAGAAGAAGAAGAAGAAGAAGAAGAAGAAGAAGAAGAAGAAGAAGAAGAAGGAGGAGGAGGAGGAGGAGGAGGAGGAGGAGGGGGAGGAGGGGGAGGAGGAGGGGGGAGGGGGAGGAGGGGGAGGAGTGGGGGGAGGAGGAGGAGGAGGAGGGGGAGGACGAGTGGGGGGAGAAGGAGGAGGAGGAGAAGGAGGAGGAGGAGAAGGGGAAGAAGAAGAAGAAGAAGAAGAAGAAGAAGAAGAAGAAGAAGAAGAAGAAGAAGAAGAAGAAGAAGAAGAAGAAGAAGAAGAAGAAGAAGAAGATATTAATCTCTTAACAACTTTGTAATCAAGTCTTCTTCCTGATTTTCTGTGTCCTTTTGTTAAGTTGCCCCATTTAAACTCATGCTTCACTTTCCCACACAAAATTTCAGTGTTCAGGGCAAGCGATGCCACTGAGTCTGTCTCTCATACCCACCTCACAGAATTGCAGATTCTCTTCTAGGATGGCCATTGTTCCTTTCTCCACCTGCCTCCAAGCTGCACAATTACTTCCATGGAAGCAGTTTCTGCTCCTTCTGCTTCCCTCCTGGCTGACTGTGAATCCTCTGTGAGCAATGTTTCCATTTCTTAGTGTCCCGGCAAGCTGCCGAGAATATCCCGCCTGCACGGCAGAGCCTGGCAAGTTCTCCGTGCATATTCGATATGCCAAAAACAGTAAGAACAAGTCTCACAATGCAGACGTTACCGGTGCTCACTCGAGCAAATCAATGAACAACGGGAGGACACTGCAACAAACAGTGTCCCAGGACTAAGCCCTGAGTGGATTTGATGCTTCACAGACCATGATGGCCTCTGGGCTCACAGGGCACCCCCACAGGGTGAGAGATGAACCCGGGTTCTAGCAGGATTCAGATGTTAGGGTTCGTGTTCCTCCAATTCAGAGCCTCGTGGCTTTTTTCCTAAAAAGACCATTTGCATGTAGAAAGGCTCGGGCCTTGATGTCAGGGGATGCCAACCCATGGAGTGGCCCCGCTCCTCGAAGTTCCATCTCACAGCTGGCTGAAGAGCAGCAGCAGACTCATGAATCAGCCCAGCTAGTTGACACCAAGAGCCCTGTGTCACCTTGCACAAGCATCCTAAGTCACCCCACGGCATCACTTTACTTAAGGAGTTAGGCATCCTGGACCCGGAGGGACACTGGCACCCCATTGACTGGGCAGCTCCATTTGCCCCTCATCCTACTCACTGGCCTCCCGAGGACCTCAGATTGGCAGAGCAGCTTTTAGCCAGGGACAGGTTACTCCCCAGATAAAAACTGACAAGTAGATTGGGCTCTGCAGCAGAGAAGGGCCAGTGTTCCAGAGACTGAGGTCTCTGATGGAAGGAAGGAAGGGCAGAGACGGGGTCCACTCCCCTACTTGTTAAAATGGAACCAACTGCTTTTGGAAGGCAGGTGTCTGTTAGGCCCCATCTCCCACCACTCAGCCAGCCTCAGGACCTGGAGATGCCTAGGTTATGCCAGGACCGAGCTTCTATGGCTTCCAGAGCTTTTTAGAAACTTCTTTCTGGGTGAGATGTGAGAAGAGTCCCCAGAGCCTTCCAGGCTCCCCAGCCCAGGGCAATTCTGTCACCCGAGCAGCTCTTCCAGACCCTTCGCCCCACTTTCTCTTCCCTGTCCTGTGGGGGGGGCATCAAATTACTCCTTCCCACATGTCAATGGCCCTGGATAGGTAGGGGAAGAGCCCCTTGCTGAGTGCCACCTTCATGAAATCCCTTGGCTGTGATGCAGTTTTCAAAGTAACTGAATCATCTGGTTTTTCAGGCTGAGATCAAATCTGGTTCCACGTGAGAAATCAGTCTCCAGAGCAAATGCTCTCATCTTGGTTCTCTTCCCATTCCCTGCCTGGACAGAATCTTTATTTAAAAGCAAAAAAAAAATCTGGACTTCAAAACCTAACTGCCAGAGGGATGGAGTTTAGTGATAAGATCACATGTTATTACTCTTTCAGGAGGCCTTGCATTGGATCCCAGACACCAAAAAATAAAACAAAATAGTGTAAAATGTAGCAGGCATTTAAATCTTGTTGAGCAAGATAAAATGTTTAAAGAAAGCATCAGAGTGGGCCTAGAGACAAGAACTTTTTTTCATCAAGTTAATGCTTTTTGCTAATCCTATTTCTTCTCTGCTGATAGCAAAGGTTTAGGACTCACATTTCATGGATGTCATTTCTTTTATTGGGGCTTGAGCATCAGTGTTGGGCTACACCCAGTGGTGCTCAGGGTTTCTGGCTCTCTGCTCACTGCCACTCAGGACACCATAGCAAAGTTTGGGTAGAATTGAGTGGGCCACATGCAAAGGCAGGAATCTCAAGTTCTGTACTATCTGTCAAACACCTACTCCCTGGATATCATAATGAAGGGGAACTCTCCTCTGTTCCCTTATTTCCCCCACCCTCATGCCTAACCACTTTCTTCCTATTTCTTTCAGTCATCATATAATGATCTACCTTTCAAGGAAAACTCAAATGTAATGTATACCCAGCCCAGTATTGACCCTCATTCCCAAGCAATTTATGCACCTACATGTCATTTCTGCAAACTTATCATATATGTCTGTTTTCACCTGCATATAACTCCTCTAATTCACAATTTTGTCACCTGTCACCTACACTAAGGCAGTAGACCCTTAGCTGAGATTTCTCTCTCCCATGTCTTTATTCATCTATCCCCATCATCAATCACTATCCCTACCGCTACCCCAGGGAAACTTCCTACCTGGCGAACAGATTTAAGTCAGGTCAAAAAATCTTTGATGTGAGATGGTATGAACACTGTTGTTCTGATGGTATCCAAGACCAGGGCCACAAGAAATAATTTTGGGGTATAGGAGTGACATGCAGTGGGCAGGGGAGAACATGAAGTAGTAAGAAGTCATCATGGGGGCCCCAGCTCAGAGCTCCATCATATTGCACAGAAATACTCAGGGTGTGTGAGTGAGCAGAGAAGACTCTCCAGACACAAGACTTACCTAGAAGTAGAAAAGAGAGAGCTCAGGATGTTCAGGCCTCCAGGAAGACCTGGACCAAAATGCCCTCTAACCATAGGAGTGAGATTGCAGGTGATTTTTCACCCAGTATGGGGTTGAACTGTGTGGATCCATGTATGTGTGAATAGATAGTGCTCCAGAGGAATTGATAGAAATGACTTCAATGAGATGAACGCCCGAGAGCCAACAGCAGGCTCTGCAGAGGAGACAGAGGAAGTGGTTCCTGAAGAGAAACTGACATCAGACAATCTGTTCTGAATATTCGGCACAGGTTTATTTGGGAGTGACGCAGCACTGTAGCACAGTCCTCCCGTTGTTCATCAATTTGCTCAAGCGGGCCCAGTAACGTCTCCATTGTGAGACTTGTTGTTACTGTGTTTGGCATATCGAATACACCATGGGGAGCTTGCCAGGCTTTGCCGTGTGAGCGAGATACTCTAGGCAGCTTGCTGGGCTCTCCAAGAGGGGCCGAAGAATCAAACTCGGGTTGGCAGGCTCGGCCGCATGCAAGGCAAATGCTCTGCCCACTGTGCTATCGCTCCAGCCTCGGAGTGAAGTAAAATGGTTTTATTGAAAGAAATGTGAGAAGAGAAAGAGAGAGAGTTGTGTTCTATAGATAACAGGGACTTCTCTGAAGTAGAAAAAAATCAGTGCTTTACTTCTTTTTACGACACAGAAGCTTTCCTAAGAAAGGCATTGAAACTAAAGTAAATGGTGAAGTCTTAGTATCATTATAGAAACATGTTTAGAGAAATGAAGAAGGAAAAAATGTCATATAGAAATGACAAGGCACCGGGTCATTTCCACCCCCACTGCCCTGAGACAGCAACACTTCTCTCCCTCAGCTTACTCACCAGGTGACAGTCAGAGTGAAGACTCCATGAAGACTCACTACCACCACGTGAACAGTAAATGCAAAATATTCGTTGATTGCCTATCTTGATGCTGGTTTCCAGTCAGTAGCAAATCAGTAGTAGTTAATTTTGGGATGGAGAGAGAGATGTCCAAAGTTATATACAAATTTCAACTGGGATTGGAGATATCGTTGCCTCTGACCTCTATGTTTTCACAATGTGATTTTGTGTACTGTGACTTATGTCTCTGGAACATGATGACACATTTTAGTTCTCTTCTCTGGGATTGAATTTTTCCGAGAAAGAAAGAAACTGAGGGCAAATTCTAAGGGTCCCCTGTGGCAGAAACCTTATCTTCTGAAAGAATTCCTAAATTCCTCCCATCATCAGCAGAATATCTTCGAAGAAATGTGTAGCCTATAGATATCAAACATTTGATGGGGACTCCCATATTGCTCTTCAGAAAATATTCTCTACTTCTGTTTTCTGCCATCCAATCAGGCAGTTATTTGAATATATATAACTGCCTTTTAGCTAAATTATATGTACAAATAAAACAAAATGAAGCAAAACAAATGGTATACTAATTATATTTTAGAAACAGTTCCTCACCCAAGATGCCAAGTTTTTAATTCATTCTGTTGGCTTCTAATCTATTTGGTTTAAAAGCTCTTTTGATTGATGACAGATATGTGAACTAATTCATTACATATTCATTCATTCATCCTGTTACTCTTTATTAACTGTCCATAGAATGCTTGGCATAAATTGGGACAATTTGATATGCACAAAGTTTCCATATTGTTTATAACATCATTGGTTTGCCAGTCTGAAGGGGAATTTAACAGTGCATTTACACTTTTTAACTCTTT